TTTATTAGACTGAGTGATGTTTATTTCGGTATCTAGAGCCTGTGCCGATATCTACGGATATCGTTGATTATGTTGATTCTGTGGGGAAGAGGGAGACTAAGTGTTCCAGGTGAGTGTTCGGGGGTTTTCTTAACTATTACTTTTTATAGTAAAAGCCTTAAACTCTTAAAATATTATTAACAATCGTTGTTTTTTCTAGACAAAGCCTTAAACTCTTAAAAATAATAACGATAACGATGATCACACAAAAACGGTTTTTCATTAACAATGCGATTCTACATAAAACAATGCCTTTTTTGGTACAAAGGACCTAACCGACAATCGATATAACGATTAATGTGGGGGAAGAGATTTTACAAGCAATAATTTACTTAGGGGAGAATAATTGTACGCAATAATTCAAGTTTAATTTTGCTTGGAGAACAATTGTACGTAATGTGAATTCTCTTTTACAAGTAGCTTACTTGGAGAATTATTGTTCGCGATTTTAATTCTGTTCTTTATTAGTAGCCCGTGGGCATTCTTTTATACATTTGTTTTGTGTGTTATTATTTTTGTACTATCAAAGAAGAGAAAGTATAACGTTTTACTAAAATAAAAAAAAAAGTTTATAACGATGCTCTATCATCTATAGAAGAAATGTCACGAAATCGAAAACTAATGGAACCGTGCCGAAGATTGATAAAGAGATGCTGAAAACTGATGCAGAAACGCTGAATGATGAGGAGATGCTGAAAAACAATGAAGAGATGCTGAAAACGATGAGGAGATGCTGAAAACGATGAGATACTGAAAAATAATGAAGAAATGCTGAAAATAATGAGGAGACGCTGAAAAATAATGGTGAGACGCTGTAAAAAGAACACGAAGAGTGGCGTAATTCCGTGTCGTGTATTAAAAGGGGAACTTGTTGTTTTTATCAGCATGTCGTCATGCTGAAAAATCTACCGAATTAGAAACCTGCGGTATCGTAATGGGAATTCGCTGCAACGTTTACCGATTTTGGAAATCAGCAACACTCAACATACATTAATCCGACGTTATTTACATCCGCAACTCATTTTTCTGTCGATTATCCCCGAAGAACCTTAATCGAGGAAGTTTGTCCGTCGGCGGTAAAATGTACATGTATTTAGTAAAAAATAGACATATCGATACTCCTCTATAACGATAAGCAATCGGGAACATCATACTTTTTTTTAAAAAAAAGTGCTGACAGAGGATATGATTATACATATCTGATGGCCCGGTGAATTGCATTTAGGGAGAATTGACTGTATAATATCCCTATCCAATCACAGTATCTTTATTCCGCAAAATACGTTGACGTTGCCAATATCTAACGTTAATAATTTTTTGCTTATTTATTCAAAACAATATTTAAATTGCTAAACCTTCCAAAAAATAAAAAATGTATTGAAAATAATGGATGGCCACGACTAAATTACCGATCAGAAAAAATAGAGAATAATCGCTAGTTTTCACTTCCGTTAATGTTAATATGTAACACTTGTAAATAACTTTTCTACATAAATAGTTTTACTTTAGCATTTCGTTTAATTACTAATATACTAGAGAACAATATTACGAGTTTACTAAATTAAACTTTGCATTTTTTCGATTTTTCGTTAAGTACAAAATAACTGACAAACAAAGATATATATTTCGAAAAATAATTGATTGTATGTGATGAACTATTCTTATCGATATCCACTGAACATCTTTTTTTAAAAAGAGATCTGTTTATATCGGTAGCGATACAGGTGCGCCACCTTTCAACCCAATATTGGCTCCACCGACATCCACTCTATCTTCATTACTGGTCAGACCGTTTTCGGATACCAAACTCCCTGTTAGTCCGCCTACGGTCGTCTTAGCCACAATCGGAAAAGAAGAGACCATTGAAATCAGAGAGAAAATAATGAGAAAATAGTATTTGAAATGCATTTTTTCGTAGAGTTGTTTTAAAAAAAGAGTAGAAAGTGTGTGCTTTTATAAAGAAACGAGTAAAACTAAAAATATACTGGTTTTATCTACTGAACATTATATACTGTACTTAAAAAGAAACATGCATCTAAGGTTTATTTGTATTATTATGCTTTTTAATGGAGTACAATAATATCTACCATCCCTTGCATAATTATCCCATCTGAAACACAATATACATGTACTATTTTATTATCAAAGTCAATACAGTCTTCGCGAGTTGTTGGTTATACTGCTTCAATTTATAATAATCGTGCTCGCGAAGAACATTTCCGGTTCTTTGGACCAATAATCTTTAGCATTAACGCGGTTGTGTGATAACTGGATTGCCGTCTGATGCATTTATGAATAACATGAAAG